GAGCGCTGAGCGTTTCACTTTCGGGCCCCTTTCATGCAAATCAAGACAGTTTCAATTGCTCGGGCCGTGCTCTTTCGCTCCCTCTGCGGGAGTTATAAATTATGTTACGAAACACGCAACACATGCACCGAAAATCGGTGAATTTTTGTCGTTCCAAAACGTGCAAAATGGTGCAAAAATCGGCGCAAAAGCGTCAAAACGATGGCAAAAGCCACAAAAACCGCTCCAAATCGGGGAAAGTGCGACGGTAAAAACCCCCGCGAATATTCGCCGAGATTTCGCAAATTGTCGCGGTTCGGGCCTGCGTTTTTGTAAAGCAAACGGGACAAAATGCGCGCAAATTAAGTCAATAGCAATGGAAATGGTGCAAAATGACACCGAAAACGCATCAAAATAGTTAAAATTGTGTCAAATCGAGTCAGTAGTATAGCAAATGGGCAAAAGTGGTACTGTTTTGGCTTAGTACAATAACAAAAGCAGCAAAATGGCCGCGAAAGCGAAGCAAAAAGCACGAAAACTAGCATAGCTTGCCTTTTTTTGGTGCAAATGGATCAAAATGCGCGCAAATTGCGTCAATAGTTTGCGAAACGGTGCAAAATGACCCCGAAAGCGGACTTCTTTGCTTCAAAACGCGCAAAATGGCGCACAAATCAGATCAAAAACGTCAAAACGATGGCAAAAACCACAAAAAACGCTGCAAATCATAGAGAACACGACGGAAAAAGTTCCGCGGATATTCGCCGGGCTTTTTAAATATGGCCGGGCCTGGTGCTGGTGTATCCAGAACCGTAGCCAAAGCTTCGGGCGCGAAATCACGCCCGCGAAAAATCTTCAGGCGCACCATGTTGCTGCACTTGTCCTGCCTTTCATCATTAAGCGGCGAAAAACAAGGGAAGCCGGCGCGGCTGATAATCAAACGAGCCAAAAGCGCAAGGGTCTCGCCAAGTCTATTAGCTAGCAAGCGACGAAGGGGCAGAAAAAACGCCCAAACAACGCAAAAAGCAGCGGAATGCGCTTGCATTGCAATCCAAACTACACCCGTGCCCCATGTTGGAGCGGTAGCGCAACAGCTGGCCAACACGCGCCCGCTAGGCCTAATACAGGCGCAAACGTGACGAAATGGGGCGCAATCCATCGCGCGCGAAGAAGGCGGCAAGCGAGTGCGCGGGTTGTAGCGTTTAAGCCTTTCTCCTTTGTCTCTCGACGTCATTGGCTAAACCGGCGCAAATCTTACTTCGGGCATGGCACTGGCGTGCCCGGGGCCGATCGAAACCGAAGCAGCTGGCGCGAAATCACGCGAGAAACCCTGGCCGCACTATGTTGGTGGACTTTTCCGGCCTTTCGTAATTGGGCGACACCATTTCGCTTCTTTTGCGACTCGTCTCCGGCTCGACCGAAAACGACATGACAAGGCAACTTCTTTCCCGCGGGGCGGCGCGGCATGCAACTCAGAGCTGCCAAATATCGCCGCCGAGGCGGGGGTAGTGGGGTCGCGCGGGTTTTTTCTGACAGACTGGACGACGCCGGGCCTTTTTCCTCTTTTCACACACTCTCCCCAAAATCGGGCCAATAGCATGCGGGCGGGCCTGCTGCTTTTGGCGGGGTTTGCGTCCTTTGGTTTTTTTGTTGAAAAGCCGCGCCCCCGCCGCCTCCTGAACCGAGACGCTTTCCCGCGTGCTATAGCCACCCAAGGGCCCCCACCAAGCCCGGCCCCCTGGGCGCCCCAAATCGGGCCCATGGCATGCGGATTGCTTGATTGGCTTTAAGATTTTGGCGAGCTTTCCGCTTTTTGTTTTTTTTTGCTGAAAAGTCGCGCGCCTTGGATTGCTCCCCACATTACAGATGCCCGATTTTGTTGGCCGTCTTTGCGACCTCGAAAAGTGGCCAAAAATGGCGCGCAAAGCATGCGGATTCGAAGCTTTTGCCGCCTTCGCACTTTTTCGGCGCCCCTTTTAGGGCGCCCCAAATCGGCGGAATTAGGTGCGCCAGGCGCCTCAGAATGGCGCCCCTTTTGCTGACTCCTCTGCGTCGTTTTTTAGATCGGCGACCGATAGAATCCGCTGGCGATTCGGTGCCAGGTCAGCCAGAGCCGANAGAATCCGCTGGCGATTCGGTGCCAGGTCAGCCAGAGCCGATTGACAAACGAAAGCTTTTTATGTTCAAAAACACCGCCGGCCGATTGAAAACTGCGCGCCGCCCGTTTTTCACGGTATATGGCAAAAAAACTCCCTGGCGGGCTAGAGCCGTGCGGCGACCTCACTACATACGAACCACAAAGACGCAACGGCCAGGCGAGCGAGGGCACGGAAACTCGGCGCCCTCTAGTCTACCACTGACGCCCGGCCCGCTCGCCTATGGCCAGGCAAATTCCCGCGGGGCGGCGCGACATGCAACTCAGAAACACGAACCAACCAACGCAACGACACAGCGGCCAGACCAGGGCACGGAGACTGACTCGGCGCCCCCTAGCACTGGCGCCCGGCCCGCTCGCCCAGGGCCAGACGAATTCCCGCGGGGCGGCGCGAAATGCAACGCAGAGCAGCGCGCCAGCAACGGCCAAGGCGCAGCGACCAAGCAAGGACGCGGAGACTCGGCGCCCCCTACGTACCACGGGCGTCCGGCCCGCTCGCCCAGAGCCACGCAAATTCTCGCAGGGCGGCACGAAATGAAACTCAGAGCAACCAACACAACTACGCAGCGGCCGCGGCACGGGCACAAGGAAGACAGAGCCGGCTGCGGCGGCCGCCTTGCCTGCTATTTGTCACGCCCTGGGAGCGCAGGCGCCGGGAGGGCCGTCGCCGTCCCCAAGGCGCCGGCCCCTGGTCGCTTCCCTGTCTTTCTTTTGCCAACCGCCCCGGCAGGCGTTCGCGTTTTATTTGAATCGATTCCGGGGAGCGCTGAGCGTTTCACTTTCGGGCCCCTTTCATGCAAATCAAGACAGTTTCAATTGCTCGGGCCGTGCTCTTTCGCTCCCTCTGCGGGAGTTACACACTGTGTTGCAGGCATAGCAAGACAGACAAGCTCTGTCATGCCGGATCTGCATAGAAGCCTTGTTTCCTACGTGTTTTCCCGTAGGATTTCTGCAATGCAAGGTTTCTCTCTCATGCTGAGAAATTTGTAACTGTAACACTTTTTTCGTTTGATAG